TGCAGCACAGAGCAAAAGCCCAGCCCAGCCCTGCCCAGGAGCTTTTTTCAAAGGGGTGTTTTGGTGTGCCACACTCCAGGAGCTTTTTGCAAAGGTGGTTTTTGGAGCAAGAAGATGGCGAAGGCCAGCTGGGGCAGCAGAGCACAGGGCAGCAAGGGGCCAAGGGGGCATAGATGGGGGAGATAGGTGGGTGGGGAGAGTTGAAGTGCCCCTGTGGTTGTAAGTGTGGGTGGGCTGCCAAGCACCCAAATTTTGATCATGTGACTGCGGAGGCCCAGCAACAGCTGTAATTTCGGGCATTGGTTGTAAGTCACTTTTTTCAGTGCGTTCATAACTTTGAATAGCTGCTGAGCAAATGGTTGTACGTTGATTACCTGTATTGCTGTACAAATGTACCTAAGTGTGCATTTCTACTTGGCTTCTACAGGAGAAATTATTTCTGCATTGGAAAGTAGACAGATTTTGTGAATGGATCCTTATGTAGGATGAATGCATGGAAGTCTTATTTTTCTGTGTGTTTCTGAGCAGAAACATAGTTCTGAATGAGGTGCTGCTGATTTGTAGAACTCCAAAAATCCCTTTTTAAATAATGTTAGTCAAGGAGGGGGCTTAACATATTTTCAGGAAATATATGTAATATGAATTACTCTTTAAAAAATTGCTTTGTGAAGTTCTATATTATTGTATGTGCCTTAATAACTCATTAAATATATTGAATTATGACTGTTGTCATTATCATTTGATTTTTAGGTCATTGAGCTTGACTTCGATCAGTTACCGGAGGGGGATGAAGTTATAAGCATTTTGAAACAGGAGCATACTCAGCTGCACATATGGATTGCCCTAGCGGTCAGTTGCTTAACAATTTACTGAATTTTATTTATTTTGTAAGCTCATTTATATTTAATTTTAAGGAACTCTTAGACCATTTCCTGTTCTCCTTTACTCAGGTCTGGATTTTTTTTAGCTTACTTGATATTTCATTTGTCAGTGAGATGGCTGAAGCCCATGCATATTCCAAAGAAATAATTATATATGAATTCATTGGTATCTCTTGACTAATTTTATTTAAGATAGTGGCAGGAATTGGCCTAGATGATCATTTTCAAGACATAGTTTTAATAAAATAAGTTTTCTGAATAATTTTCATTTCTTCTTCCTCCATGTATATGTTACTGTTCCCTCATCAAAGTAATCATTTGTGGATCATTTGAATTTATGAATGGATTTCTGTGTTTTTATTTCAGTAGCAACCTTTTTGCAGTCAAGGCCTGCACTTTTCTTTAAAAACAAAAAAAAAGAGTTTGGCGATATGACCTCACCAGGGTAGTGAGGTCAAAGGTATTGGTCTATTTTTCAGTGGAGTAGAAGGTTCAAGGAATAAACTAGATATATTAAGCAGTAAAAAAAAGTGTACTTACTCTGTCCCTAATTTTACCTCCTCCTCAAATATGAACAATTGTGCCACCAAAACTGGGACTTTTCCTGCTGAAATCAGTGGCATGATTTGAGGGTGCTCTTGCATTCACAAAAATGAACCTGTGGCTGTGTGCTGCCCATGGATTGCCCACTTCATATACATAAAGAAAAGCATATATATATATAAAATGTTTTCCATTGGCAATGAAATGGATGGCATGTTACAGGTCTATCTGATTTCCTGGAATAATTTATTTAATTAATATGTAATTGCTTAACTTTATGTGCCATGCATATTTTATGAATGCAGTTTTAATAGTGTATTGCTAAATGTATTTTCATTTACTTTTTAAGCTGGAATATTACAAACAAGGCAAAACAGAAGACTTTGTGAAACTATTAGAGGCTGCTCGCATAGATGGAAACCTGGATTATAGAGACCATGAAAAGGATCAGATGACTTGCTTAGATACCTTAGCAGCCTACTATGTACAACAGGCTCGGAAAGAAAAGAATAAAGATAACAAGAAAGAGCTTATTACCCAAGCTACGCTGTTGTACACTATGGCTGATAAAATTATCATGTATGATCAGGTAAGAACAACCAGCTAGTTGTGAAGATTCTGATATGTTTGTTTTATGATATGGTTTCAGCCATAATATTGGTTGAGCACTGAAATAATCTCTCTTGAAGATGAAAAGAGGTTTTCTGTTATGTTTCAACTTTCTTTAAAAAGATCATCCATTAATGCAGGAGATGATTGTGTTCACACGACAAGCTAATTCGCCTTGTTTGGTTTACTGTGGAATGTATTAGATTATGGTGCAGAGGGTCATCAGATAGGATTGGAGAGTCCCAGCTTCAAGTGTACTTTTATCTGTAGAAGCTCACCGGGTGATTTTGAGCCTGTTACTTTCTCTCAGTCCACTAATTGTAGGGCTGCGTTGAGAAAATATTGAAAGAGAGAGCCAGCATGAGCTTCTGGAGGAAAGATAGGATATAAGTCAAAGAAGTGAATAAAAATAACTCGGAGGTGTGTATTCATACAGTGTAAATACTGGAGAAATAGTTATACAGCAGATAGACCACTTTTATTGCCTGGGTTCCTCACTTAGACATTTTTTTTCAGTAACAATAAAGAAGACAGGACTGATTTAAAAATACAAAGCATCAGAAAGTTTTTTTAGATCAATAAATTGGTTGCAGATACAAACAAAAGGCTTTAAAATCATTACTGAAAAATTATGTGTTCCTGCTGCAATTTGGCATGCTGCTGAAAAAGGAAAAGAGGCTCTGGGGTCGACATAAGGGATTTCTGCCTGTTGGTCACTGGGGATATGGATGTTAAAGGAGGAGGATATGGAAGCATTTGAGGTAACAGGTAACACTTCAAAATAATGAATATAGGAAGAAGGTGTGATTTTGCTACTCCATCACTTAGGTTATGAGAAATCATATAAACTTTTAACATAAAGAATCAGTGGAGTCAGACAGAACAAGCTTAGCACGGTTTATAGTAATTACTCCTTGAAATAAAAATTAAGAAAATTTCCTGCTTTTCTAGAATCACTTATTGGGAAGAGCCTGTTTCTGCCTTTTGGAGGGTGATAAGATGGATCAAGCAGATGCACAGTTTCATTTTGTACTCAATCAGTCTCCCAATAATATTCCAGCCCTTCTTGGTGAGTCAGTTGTATTTTGCCTTCATGTAAATAAACGCAATTTAACAATGCTGAGCCCAGCAGACTAAGAGATTGTGAACTGTGAGGTATACAAGGACACAAGGGAGATCTGTTTCACCTTTGTATATTGCTTTTTCTACTGTAGGTCGCTGAAGTCCAAAACAAGTCCTTTTACTATTTTTGCTAGAAGTTACAGTTTATTGCTAATTTTGGACCTTGAATTTAAAGTAGGAAATAAAAGGCCCTGGTACTGTGACCTTTAATGGTTTACTTAGCTTACATTTTTAATAGAGATGGAGGGCTTTACTACTACTACTACTACTAATAGCAACGCACCCCCCCCACACACACACACTTAGAGCTTGGCAGCACCACATGCAGAATGTGGTCATGGCATGGTGCAAAGCCTGATTCAGCCTTCTGGCTGAAAGAAATGGTGAAACTCAGGTTTAAGGTAATAAAAGTATGTGGATGGATGAAGTTATGGCTTTTATCTGGCTCTGTGCTATTAATAAAAATAGAGCATCTAGAGATTGTGAAATGTATCTACTCCACAACTAATATAAGAAGCATGGTGCCAGTCAGATTAGAAGGAAATGGGGACTTACTTGTAACAGTTATGTTTTTTATACCATTTTCAGTGAATAACTGTATTCCTTTAATATGCTTGCTGTTAGTAAACTGTGAACTCCTGATGTCTGCAATAAACTTTAGAGATATTTATCATCTTTTATTGTACCTTTCTAATAGGTAAAGCATGCATTTCATTCAACAAGAAGGATTACCGAGGTGCCCTTGCCTATTATAAAAAGGCCCTGCGAACTAATCCTGGCTGCCCAGGTAAGAAGCAAAGCATGTACTCTTAATGACAAGTCAATGTTTTATCTAACACTGGTTTGGGGTTGAGACAATGACTGGCCCAAGTCACTCAGCTGGTGGCCATGCCTAAGAAAGGAGTAGAACCTGTGTTTTCCTGCTCCCAGTCCAGCAACCACTACATATTGGCTATCTAGGAAATGTTTATCTTTGTTTAGAAAATATTTCTGAATCTGCAGTCTTCCAAAAATAACCGCTTTTGGTGATTAACAAAGATTAATATTGGAACCAAGAGCACCTCTGTGGTTCAGATATATCAGCTAATACTCATGAAAATTACAGGGTTGAACTTAAAGAACTTTGTGGCTATAGAGTGCTTTTGATTTGATCTACCAAAGATGACTCTGAATATATGGGAGCACAAATGTCTGCAATACCTTAAAGCAGCTGTGCCTTTTCCTAAATCTGTGCATTATCCTCAGAAAAAATGTGGGTGTTGTAGACAACTGCCATGTTCATGCTTCTGTGCATTTTGAAACGTATATTGGAGACTGAACCCAAAGTGCTGCACCATCTAATTAAGAGTTTTGTATTCTCTGGAGTTCATCTGACAGAACTTCACATGTATAAATGCCATTTATGCAAATGGCCATAGCAGCTTTTGAGGAAATATACCTGATATTATGTGCAAAGTGCTTCATAGTCATTAATATAACTGGAAATAAGAGAGAATCTTTAAATGAAGAAGGGAGTATAAATGACAATGCCAGCATAATGTAGTCAAGGTGTTGGGCTGCCTTTGGGGAGACCCAGGTTCAAAGCCACCCTGATTCATGGAAGCCCACTGGGTGACTTTGGGCCTCTTGTTCTTTCAGCCCATCCTACCTCACAGGGTTATTATGGGGAAAAATTGGAGGTGGGAATGCTATGTAGACCACCTCGAGGTCCTGAAATAAAGGTAGATATAAATCAAATACATACATCTTGGAAGTCTTTACTGTTTTTCTCTCCTAGCTGAGGTTCGGCTGGGCATGGGCCATTGCTTTGTAAAGCTGTACAAGCTAGAGAAAGCTCGCCTGGCATTCAGCAGGGCACTGGAGCTCAACTCCAAGTGTGTGGGGGCTTTAGTTGGATTGGCTGTTCTGGAACTAAATAACAAAGAGGTGAGTGAGTTTAACCTAAAATGGTAATACCTCAGGACCCTGTTGATATTATAGTCACTTTTTTTGGGTGGTGGAGGGGCAGCCACAGGCATTTCACAAGTTGAAATAAAAATCTGATTATTTCTTTCTTTGATAAATTGATAGCTCCTTTGATTTTGAGGTAATACAGTTGCTGAATCTCTACTTTAAAATGTGACTCATGGAGCCAGAAAAGGCCCATTGGTTTAAACAGGTTGCTAGGATATAGTTAAACAACTGCACACTTGTCATTTTGTGGAAGTTTATATTAGATTGGCTTTCCTCCCCTGTCCACATCACAAGAACATGAAGGAAGGATTGTAGTCATACAGATTTTGTTACATAGGCCTAAAATACTGTAGAGCACCAAATAAAATCTGCCCAAAGCTGAATCCATTAACCTATAAACTTTGATGACTATAAATATAAAATAATCAAATCAGGCTTGCTAACATTTACTAATCTAAGCACAGCTCAAGCAAGAAATGACTTCCAAGTTCATGCTTAGTCATTTATTTTTAAAAAGATACCAGCAAAAGCCATTAGCTACCAACATGGTTTATTGTGATGCAGATGGGCTGTGCTGTGCTGAACCTTACGACCTCCCCTGCCCACTAGCACAACCGTGAAAAGATCAACATTTTCCATTTTAGTCTTCGAACCATGTACTGCTGTTCTTGGCTCCGAAGGCAAATTTCTCATATGGTAGAGTTTTCTTTTTTTTTTTTTTTAACTGTTATTCTTCTAATTGATATACCATTATCAGTCTAATCTCACTCATCTTCATAGCATGTTTGTGAAACAGGCTGTTTTTCTGCTGAGGAGAGTTAAGCTAGGAATAGCAGCCACCCACATGGGCAGTCAAAGTTGTGACCAGGATTCTGAAACCAATTTTTAAAGCACAGCCCTTGAATTTTTAAAGACAGCGACTAGAAATCTAAAATGCATTTCAGCATGCATAACAACTGTCAATATTCCTTTCAGGCGGATTCCATCAAAAATGGTGTCCAGCTACTCTCTAGAGCTTATACAATTGATCCTAGTAACCCAATGGTGTTAAACCACCTAGCAAATCACTTCTTCTTTAAAAAGGTAAGACAACAAGGGTGTGTTTTGAGTTATGCTGCCAGCTTGAACTTTTCAGGCTGCTTCATTACACATCAGACTTTACATTTTTTTAAAGTAAATCTGAAGTTGAAGATTCTGATTCTGTCAAAGAACAAGAATAATTGTTTCAGTGTTGCATTTTGAGGCTATAAATAAGCTGTTCAGAATTGCCTGAAGTCATCCTTATTTTTCATCATTCCAGTTGTGAAATGGAATTACGTTTTGCTTTTTGTGGGGTGGGGTGGGGTGAGGACATGCTAATGCAAATGATGAAATTCCTAAAAAATGTCTCAAGTCTCTGTAGTATTCACCTGTAATGTATACGCCAGATGTATATATTCCATAATGATATGAGTATTTGCAGACTGGCTTCAGGAGGTTCATTAATGTTTGTGTGTTTGTGTGTGTGAGAGAGAGAGGGAGAGGGAGAGGAAGAAAAAGATATATGAATCTCTCCTCTTTTAAACTGTGGCTGAATTTGTGCATTGTACCAATCCATAATATGAGTTGGGGAATGAGTGAGCTCAACTATTGTAATGGTCACACTTTAAAGTTTAGGGATTGTATAGGCAGCAATATCTTCAAGAAATTATGAATTAATGCAATGTGTGAGCAAATAGGGGCAACATCAGGTTTCCAAGAACTTGGATTTCAATCTATGATTTTGAATACTGTAAGAATATTATTATGACAGTGTTATTTTCTGTATACAGGATTATGGTAAGGTCCAGCATTTGGCACTTCATGCTTTCCACAACACAGAAGTTGAAGCAATGCAGGCAGAGAGTTGCTACCAGCTGGCCAGGTCTTTTCATGTTCAGGTACCTGAACCTCCTTTCCTACTCTGCAGTCTTATTTTTTTAAGAGTTTTCCAAGTTTAAATGCCTTCCTTCCTTCTTTCTTCCCATTATTAGGAAGATTATGATCAAGCTTTCCAATATTATTACCAAGCCACGCAGTTTGCCTCTTCATCTTTCGTATTGCCATTTTTTGGGCTGGGTCAAATGTACATTTATCGAGGGGATAAGGAAAATGCATCACAATGCTTTGAAAAAGTTTTGAAAGCCTACCCTAACAATTATGAGACCATGAAAATTCTTGGATCTCTCTACGCTGCTTCAGAAGATCAAGACAAACGAGATATTGCGAAGGTACAGTAAGCCTCAGAGTTGAGAGGAAAACTGCAATTCCTTCACTCTTTTAATCTAGGATGAAACCATCAAACTCAATGGCAGTTATTTCTGAGAAATACGTGTACAACTGAGATTTAATTAGTACTGCTGGTAGACGTATATATTGGGAGGAGTTTTCCCATCATGGATAAACTCAGAAGTATTTGGAACCTTCTGAAAATGGAATTGATCTGTGTTGTCCTTATTAGTCTGCCATTCTCAGTCCAATGTGCTAAGTAGCTAAGTAGATATTTTACTTTGTTTTAAAAATGAGATCATACTAAAAGGTAAGATAAATAAACTTACTATAAAACCAGCAGTTTTTATGAGGCATGTTCAGAACAGAGTTAGTTTTTCTATTGTTGGTGATTGGACAGTGTTGGTTTTTACCCATTTCCTATTTTTTAAATGTTAGGCAAATGTTTGCTGATCCTAATTCAATCTGATTTTGCTGCTTTGATGAGGATTTTCTTTTATTATGTTTTTGAAACAGTTTATAATGGTTAGCTATTTTGATAAAGTAAAAAATCTATCTCTTATTTTTAAGAAGGAAACATTTGTCTTAGAAACAGCAGATGCTAGCCTGCATGTAGAAGTGATTATTTTCAGAATGTTAAATTCTAAGACACTGCATATTGATCTGATGTATGTTTGTTCATTCTGATGCAGATAATTTGTTGTAGCTAACAAGATACTTTTAATACTTTTTGTTAAATGTCAGTACTTCTGGAAATTAGTAACTTTTAAATCTGACATTTACCCCAATTAAGTTTGCTGGTATTAGATTTGTTGAAGAATATGAAGTAAACTATATATTTACTGAGTGGCACTTTTCAGGGGAACATTTTAAATCAATTATATAAAGTAACAAGTTGTTTTTTATAGGGTCATTTAAAGAAGGTGACAGAACAATATCCAGATGATGTAGAAGCTTGGATTGAGCTAGCACAAATCCTTGAGCAGACAGATATACAGGTATATAAAAGGTGGGTAAAGTACACTTGCTTTATGCTGAAGAGTTACACATTACACTAAATCTCTCCACTGTCTCTAAATGTATAGGGTGCTCTTTCAGCCTATGGCACAGCAACACGAATACTTCAGGAAAAAGTACAAGCTGATGTTCCCCCAGAAATTTTGAATAATGTGGGTGCTCTCCACTTCAGACTCGGAAACTTAGGAGAAGCAAAGGTGTGAATCTCATCTTTCCAACCACTATTACTCTTAATATGCAATATATTTATAACTTAGCTGTGTGTAAATATGTGTGTGCATATGTGTGTATAATGTACGTATATACATATGCACACTTTTTTTCTTCTTTCCTATACTTGTATTTAGAAATATTTTTTGGCATCTCTGGATCGGGCTAAAGCAGAAGCTGAACATGATGAACATTACTACAATGCAATTTCAGTGACAACATCCTACAACTTAGCCAGATTATATGAAGCAATGTGTGAATTCCATGAAGCAGAGAAACTATACAAAAACATCCTAAGAGAACATCCAAATTATGTTGATTGTAAGAAATCTTGATGCAATCCTTAAATTGAAAATAGCTACATGTGTATATCTTCAAACTGTTATAAATGTTCAGCTTTGAATTATCTCACAGATATATGCATTGAGTTGTCATCAGAAATAATTTATCTACTAATTTCTCTTTAGTTCATATATCATTGGGTAGCTGTGGTCCCACTGCCTTGAAGGAAATGATGGTATGTTCTGAAGCAATTGCTGGACCCAACAGTGTTGGATAATTTCTGGTCAGGCTCCAGTGTCCCTATTTTAAGAATAATTGTGGAGAAGGTCATTGGGCTGTAGTGCCATAAGGTCCTGAAAAAGGTGTTTTCAGTCTAGCTTTGGTTCTGGGTATAGTACTGAGATGGCAGTGATTGTACTTGTGAATGACCTCTGGTGGAGCTGGAATGGGGGGGTGCAGCTATAATGGCCCTGCATGATCATCTGGCAGTTTCAGTGTGATCAGTCATGGTACCTTTCTGGACTGGCTACAGGGGCTAGGGAATGAGGGGCACAGTAGTTCGCCTTTCTCCATGGTCAGTCAGTGTTGATAAGGGGTGAAAGTTTGAGCCCAGTATCCTTGCTATGCAAGGGCTTTATAGTCTCTCTCTTCCTATTTAACATCTACATGAAGCCACTAGGTAAGCTCATTCAATGGCATAGTATCAGCTATCATCAATATGTTGATGACACCCAGTTCTACATCTCGACTTCTCACTGACTATGTGATGCTGTCAAGCTTCTGTTGTAGGGCCTGGAGGCTTTTGGGGTCTGGATGGGGAGGAACAGGTTTAGACTTAACTCTAGCAAGACTTAAACATGGGTGAAATAAATAAAATTTAGAGAACCATGAAAATCATCACATATATTGCCTTAGCCAGTAAAATACTGCCATTATAAGCCAAAGTCACACAATTTCCCCCTCTTTAAATCCAAGTATGCAAAGTGTATGCAGTTGTTTTAAAAATCTCTGCAGATAAATTTAATAGAAATACTTAAAGGTTGCATTGTTGTTTGATGTCTTTATAGACACATTGGAATAAGTTTGTGCAAGCTTCTGAAGCTTTTTATGTTTGACTTGAGTGGCATTAAGAGGACTTGCTGCTGTAACAGATGGGCATTCTTTTGTTCCTGTTTAATTTGACATCTGAGTGACTGGCATCACTGCGTGGTCTCTTTTAACCTGTATTGCAGCTAATAGTGGCACTATTCATTGATAGCTAGTTAATCTGCTCTGTTCTTGTCCCAATATTGTGTGGCATGAATATAGCAAAGGTCTGGTTAGAGCAGATATTCATCATTCAGAGCACTTATTTAACAAGGTACTAAGTTCTGGAAATGAGCCTCTGATAATTAAAATCTCTTCCCCTTTATTTAGGCTATCTGCGTTTAGGAGCTATGGCTAGAGATAAAGGAAACTTTTATGAAGCTTCTGACTGGTTTAAAGAAGCACTTCAAATCAATCAGGTCAGTAAGAATTTGTCAACAAAGGTCACATAACCTAATAAATATACATTATTTCATTGCTGGCTTTGGCAATTTCATAACATATTTTTGTATGAGTAGTTGGAGTGTCTCATGAAATATCATCAGCAGCTATCTTGGAATTTTCTTCCCTTAAACTTTGCCAAAGTTTGAATTGTACAGAAGAAATGTAATATTTTAAGAGAATTTTCATTTGCTAAAATTCTTAAACCTTTTATGGGATGCTACTTGGAGCTGGGAGAGGATCTTTTTGGACCATTAGTATTTCTCATTTTAATTAAGTTGAGTATTAGCATATTGGAATATTATTTCAGGACCATCCTGATGCTTGGTCCCTGATTGGCAATCTTCACCTGGCCAAGCAAGAATGGGGTCCAGGACAGAAGAAATTTGAACGAATATTGAAACAACCATCAACACAGAATGACACTTACTCTATGCTGGCTTTGGGCAATGTATGGTTGCAGACTCTGCACCAACCCACCAGAGACAGAGAGAAGGTAAATACTCTGCATGTTTATACTGTCTTTTGTACAGCTGCTTCAATGGATGAACATTGGATTTTGTCCAGTCCTGACTTTCAGATCCACAAACCGCTGGAAGAATGGATTTACCCTCCCCAAGTCTTCCTAAAGGGGGGAGAGGAAGTCTCTAGGCAGAAATGGAAATTTTCTTATATAATGTATATTCACCAGTTGATCTCATTAGTCAGTGCTTACTCTCTGTGTATTCTGAATTTATGATAGTCTTGAACAACAGTAAGACTTTTACAAAACTGCTCTAAAATGGAAATCTTGAAAGAAATGAGAGAATAGATTCCTCTCTCTTTGCTGAGGATTTTACATTAGCTTTCAATTTTTAGGCTGCTAGTTTTATATTGATTGTGGTGCATGGTTTTGTTTTAACATATTTTAAAACTTCCTGAATGTCCAGAAAAGTTATTAAAACATTTTAATAAGTATTGTAAGCATTTTCTTGAGAGTTCACATCCCCCTTTTGTAGGAAAAACGTCATCAAGATCGTGCGCTAGCCATCTACAAACAGGTCCTCAGGAATGACCCCAAGAATTTGTATGCTGCTAATGGCATAGGTAATGAGACTCCTTGTCTGAGTTTTCTTTCTGCAGTAGCATTTTGCAATGATTTTGCATAAAACTGGAAATTCTCCTTTGGTTTTTCCTTTTTAGGAGCTGTGCTAGCACACAAAGGATATTTCCGTGAGGCTCGTGATGTTTTTGCCCAAGTGAGAGAGGCAACTGCAGATATCAGTGATGTGTGGCTTAATCTTGCACACATTTATGTGGAGCAGAAGCAGTACATCAGTGCTGTACAGATGGTAATCCTTAACAAATAGCTTGACTAGGGACATATTTCCTGTAAACGCTGAAGTAAGAATTTCAAGTTGAGTGAGTCTTTTCTGTAAGGAGGATTTTTACAGCTTTGTTGGCATGATCACATCTTATTTAATAACTATGTTTGGGGAATTAAAAAGCAAAGATGGCTTGCTGAAGGTTTATTTATTTATTTATTTTAATTTCAGGAATGCCCAACTCCTATCGACTCTGAGAGGCTCACAGCATTACAACAATATATATCCAAAAAGCATCTAACTATAACAGTAACACTTATTAGGATAAGATACCCTTTATTAAGATCAAAAAGACATTCCCCCCAGTCCTGTCGTGACATCTCAATTCTAGCATGATCTTATTTCATAAAAGCAATAAGGAGCTATCTTGATTAAATTGAACTACAAATGCAGGTCACCAGATGGAAGAACTGTTTAATAAATAATGTGGGAAGAAGAGAGAAGTCTTTGAAGGGGTTAAGTTACTTTGCTACAGCCTAACCTCCTAAAAAAGGTTGTTTGGCGTTAATTAAAGACGTTTTCTTCCATATCCTTCCAGTAAATCCTGAGGACTTCATAAAGAATTCCTTCAAAAGAATGACAAACACATTTACAGTTTTATCATGTGTATTATTTTTAGGAGGGAAGTAATACTAAATGTTCTGTTTAAAATACTAAAAGCTGTGCATTTAATATGCCCCCTCCCCCAAAAATTACTTTGGAAAAATATATGAAAAGTCTAATCCTGCCCATGGATATGACCTTACTCTGTAAACTGCAGCCCTTAGGACATAATCCCTGCGCCCCCTCTTGACAATTTGCCCCATGCTGACTTTGAGCAGCAATGGATCTCAAAATGCATGTACTAAACACCTCTGTTATGAGTATACTGTAAAATATATCCCAAGGATCTCTGCAATATGCAAGGATTTTTTGATGCATGTGTAGGAATTCCTTAAGCTGGTTGAGTGAAGAAAATTCCTCGGAGATGGTTTAAAACCAGTGGTCTAGATAACCGAGATAATATACCATATGTAAACCATCTATTGTTGTTAAAAGCAGACCCACATGTTGAGTATCAACAAGACTGAAGCTGGAACAAAGCTATTGGGAAACGAAGGCATTAGCATGCTTGGGGGAACTCTGGTTTGCAAAACTCCAACATTATTTTCAAAACCAACTACAGTTCTAAATGGCAGGTGAGGATTGCAACATGTAGCCGTGACATATAAAATAGTTTTTGTAAAGAGGAAAATATCTCTTTGCATCCGATAAAATGAGCTGCAACTCACAAAAGCGTATGCCTTTTAATAAAATTCATTAGATGGGAAAGGTGCTACCATGCACCTGATTTTGATTAACATGGACTAACACAACTCTCCTACAATGCCAGCCACCAGATGAAATAGTTACAAATTGATCAATTAAGAAAGAGAAAAAGAATGGATTTTTATGCAAACAAATAATATGCAGCATCAATTTAGGGTTTGATAGTTACTTTTTCATTTAAAGAACATCGGTTTTCTTCTGCCCTGATACTTTGTAGTTGTATATCTCAATTTCAGCAGTGATTCTTTGGATAATATATTCATGTAAGAAAAAGCGGTGGGGGAATCAGCTAATGCAATGTGAGGTTTCTGGGCTTACAGAGATGAATAACTAATACCAACGGTTATTGCGTGTACCAAACAGTCTAGGTTCCCACTATAATAAAGAGATGGAGATGAATTGCTGTAATTGAGATACATAATTGGCAGACTGAATGGCCTATTAGTCAGTAGTTAGTGGCGCCAGAAGTAAGTTGTGACTGTATTAAATAGCCAGATGGATTTATCTTTAAGACTACAGTATTGGAAGAGAGGATTAAAAAAGAAAAATCTTCTCCATGCATCTGAAAATTGGTGAAAAATAAATCACGCAGTTGCGGATAACACATGTGATATGCCATGTATGATATAAGTGGTTATGTAGTCAGGTACGATAGAAACTTACATACTATGCTGACTGCACGGAAAGGGAAACACATTTTTTTCTCTCTAGCCTTTTCAGCGGAAGGCATTTTTTAAGCCTGCAAAGAGGCTAGATTTGTTGTGTTCCTATGTGGGCTATAAAGAGGGAGCTTTGGCTTCCTCTGCAACCTACATAGAAATGCAGGATAGAAGGTTCTTAGAAGTCACTGAAAGACCTTTGCAAAGTCATTTACAAGACTCTGCTCAGCCTTGCATTCAGACTGCTGGGCAGTTTTGTCTGAAACACTATTAAATTTGGCAACTTAATTAAACAAATAGTAATTCTTTAAATGTTCTTTTTTCCCACCACAGTATGAAAATTGTCTCAGAAAATTCTATAAACACCAGAATACAGAAGTACTACTGTATTTGGCCCGGGCTCTCTTCAAATGTGGTAAATTACAGGAATGCAAGCAAACATTGCTAAAGGTAAAAAACAATTGTCAATAATGATTGTTATTATTTACTAACTGTAGATGTCCCAGAATCATCTAGTGTCACCTTGGCTTACCATAGCATAAAATATAATAAAACAGCCATGGTGGAGAAAAGCAGCCTAAGTACAATAAAACATGTACAGTAAGAAAAATTTAATTAGTCCCAAATATCACCATGGTACAATATAGTAGGGTTTCCCAAATTGTGAGGTGTACCTCCCTTGGGGAGGTGCAGACAGAGTCCAGGGGAGATGTGAAGAACTTTTTAGTGATACATTGTTACAATAAATCCTCCTTTCCCAAAGTTTCATTGTATTGTTTTCATTGTTTGTTTGTGTTCATTTTGGTGTTGGATTTTTTAGGGGAGGTGTGTGCATTAAGATTACACTCAAGGGTGGTGTGATGGCAAAACGTTTAGGGACCTCTGCTATATATAGAATCATTACAAATCAAAATCACAAATTATAGGTACTGTACAAGATAAAAAGCAATAAAATACTGATGGTGAACAATCATACTCCAAAGACCCTCTGGACAACTTTCCTCTTCACTAACTTGTGAAAGGCTATCACTGAGAGGGTCAGTCTGGCTTCATAGGTGTGTTGTAACACCAGTTTCTGCTCTCTGGTTGGTTCATATTGGTTTAATTTTAAACTAAATTTGAATTCTCAGGCAAGACATGTAGCACCCAGCGACACAGTCCTTATGTTCAATGTTGCCCTTGTGCTGCAGAGGCTAGCTACCTCTGTCCTGAAAGATGAAAAAAGTAACCTGAAGGAAGTACTGAATGCTGTGAAAGAACTGGAGCTAGCTCACAGGTAAGGAGATATAATCTTTATTTGAGAAAGGAACCCCCGTATAATCTGCACTGCATTGGGGTATGGTGGTGATGGTGGTGAGACCAAATTCTAGCCTAGCTTAACAATTAAATGCTAATTATTTTGTATAGTTTTATAGATGCATCTAGAGGTGAGATTAAAGCTGTCAACTTTATTACAGAATAATAATACATTCAATAAGCTCTGTCTGATGGCTTTTAGACTTTCTTTCTGTCAATAGGATGTGTAAAACCCTTACTGCTACCAGCACCCTAAAAGTTAATGTGTTAAATAATACCTACAGGAATGGGAAGAGAAGATAGCTAGCCTTGTTACTTGAATGCTTTGTTCTATTGCTGTGGTCATCTAGAACTGTAGTTGGTGGACAGATAGGCAGGTTCAGGGCAGATGAATAGTGCATGTGAAAATTTTCAGGAGAGCCTAAAAATCCAGAGCCAGAAGTTGAGAGCTTCAAAATTGGATCTAGCTGCTCTAGCCTGCAAGCATTATTCCCTGTATTAGTACACAAATTTGGGTGGGGGGGAACGTAGGTCCATTCAAGCAGAAGCAAACTGGGCCCAAAGGCTTATTATCAGTGTGCTTTTGCACTGGACACTTGTTCTTAAAATTAAATCTTTTTTACTTAATGTATTGAGGCAGGCTGTTGTTTTCTCAGTTTTATATAGTACATTGCCCTGTATTTTGGAGTGTTCACCTCTGCCAGATACCTTTCTTTTATCCCAGGAGTTTCTTTTGTATGAGATGTCCATAGAATAATCAGTTCAGCGAGTTCTGAGACAGATTCTCCAAAACTTGTCTTGAGCCATCTGTAAGATGATTCCGTTCCACTTTCAAAGGATGCAATCTGAACTCATTAAAGAAGTAGAAATTGTTGTTGACTTTTATGAGAAGTTATTTGTAATTAAAATACTTTGAGAACGCTTTCTTCTGTACGAACCAAAAGAGTGATTTGGTGGGGAGATAAAGATGGAGAGTAGGATGTAAAATTAAAAAGTAGTATTTTAATTTTGACATCATCTGGTTTATGTACCATTTTTATGTACCATTTTTAACAAAAGCACACATAGGAAAAAAAGACTAAGATTATTTTGGAAGAATTTTAAGATATCCCTAACTTTCTATTTCCCATACAGATACTTCAGTTACTTGAGTAAAGTGGGGGATAAAATGAGGTTTGATTTGGCACTTGCTGCAACTGAAGCCAGGTAAAAAATGTAACCAGTGCTTACAAGAACCAATACCTTATGAAATAAGCAGGTATTTGAATGGCAGGTTTCAGATTATTTTAGTACAGATGTTTAAGGTGAACGATGCACATCTGTAACCTAAATCCACAGGGAGGGAGGGTCAGCTTATAATAGGAAGTAATATTGACTAGCCATATTGGCAGGTATTGAGGTGTACTGTTGGGGAGGTAGTATTTTCTGTGGATGATTAGGATGGGTTTTGTATTCTTTTATTATTAGTTCTAGCAGGTGTAACTCGAGATTTTTCTAAATATTTCATATAGCTATTTTGAAATAATTCTAGAGTGTAGCCTAGATGTTTTGTAAACTATATTTCTCCTAGGATATTCTTTAAGGAAGAAAGCTGCCTTTGTCTTCTGGACTGAACTCTTAAAAGGCTTGCCTTTGTTGCTGCCTAAGTTAGTAGTCGTCAAACAAAAAGTAGTTTGAAGCAACTGTTGGGGGCGGGGGTTTGTCCGTGAAAGCTAAAAATAATGCTTAGTCTTGTTGGAAGAAAAATCAGTTCAGAAATTTTAAATCTAAATATAAAAGATTAGTGTGATGAAGCTAAATATATTAAGCACTGAAAACCAGATATTTGTCATGTACTGATGTGCAAGAGCAATGCAATCCATTTAGTTGGATGAAAAATTAATATTTCCTAGGAGCAAAACAATTTGAGGTGCCAGACTAGTGTTTGAAAAAGTGATTTGATGGTTAAAAATCCTCTAGGAAATTAAACAGTGACGCCCCAGCTGCATTTATCTGTTTTTCTTTACAGTAGATGTATTTATGACAGTCTAGTTGCTAACTACTAGCATTCATGAGTGTTGTCCTTGAGAGGTTTTGATTTGGCCAGTGGCATGTAATGTGTTTTTCATCATTATTTCTGCTTTTGTCTGCAAATTTAACTCAAACTTGTAGGCAGTGTTCAGATCTGCTGAGCCAAGCTCAGTATCATGTAGCTCGGGCTCGCAAGCAAGATGAAGAAGAGCGGGAGCTGCGAGCAAAACAAGAGCAAGAAAAAGAACTACTGCGTCAGAAGTTACTCAAAGAACAGGTACTTTATTCCTTATACCCCTAAAACAGAGCTGGGATCACTTTCTGCTGCCGACCTATGAGCCATGATGCTACAACAAAATACAATGTAGATGTAGGATGAACAGATACAGGAATGTGAGCTCTGAGTATGTAAATGGGTAAATTAGATTTGGAAGGGTGGTTTATTTTTAGGCTGCAAATAATGAAGAATGGGGCAAATAAAAGATTATATGCCTCATCCAGTCTGTAACCTAGAAGCATCTTGCTTTTTTCCACTGGGTTATTTACAGTATTGCTACATGCACTGGGTTCTCTTCATATCATTGTTTCAGAGCAGACTATTTAAAGGCAGATACCGTGTCATTGTGTCACAAAAAAGTCTTCAACAATAATCTGAAAAATAACTTCTCTATGTTGGAATGATGCTTTACATAGCTACATCCAATTCTAGAAGTACAATATAATGCTTTGATTGCTGTTACTCTTCCAGGAAGAAAAACGACTCAGGGAAATAGAAGAACAGAAGAAACTTTTGGAACAGAGAGCACAGTATGTGGAGAAGACCAAGAATATTCTCATGTTCACAGGAGAAGTTGAAGGCTCAAAAGAGAAAAAACGTGGTGGAGCTGGCCGGGTAAATAGAAATAAAGGATTTTTAAAATTATTTTTAGTACGTAAAGCTACAGAAAGGAAATGCTGAATTTGGTCAGATTTGAAAAGCTGTTTGCATAAGAAATACGTAAATCAGTTTTGTACTGATTTAGATACATAGAAATTTATTTGTAAGCCTTATTTCCTTGAGTGCAAAAAAAGGGAGATTAAAAAAAAGTAGGCAGAAAGTAACAGACTTGCCCATTTTGACTTTTTGGTTCTACTCCTCTGTTAACCTAAGAATTCATGGTTATTGTCTGTCATTGATCATCTCATCTTTATTTCCATTGCATCTCTTCTTCAAGTACTCTGTCATTCAACAAACTTTTCATCTTCTGTTTTAATTATTCTTTATTACCTTTTGTGGTTTTGTCTGTTCATTCATCCAACATCTCTGGGTTTTGGTTGGTCCTTCGCCTTTAGCCTTATTGGTCCTTCACCTTTAGCCTGTTGTCTCATGCTGATTATCTTCCTCACATGTCCCTCTAACAATAATCAGAGTCATTGTCAAATTCAGGCTCCTCTTATACCTCTCTCATTGATTATTAATTTGGTCCAGCTACCTCTCCACCCATTTGCTGCATCCAGATAATACAATGTGTCCTTTCTGCTCCCTCAAAATGATACATCATGCTCCTTGCCTCCTTGATAAATATCTTAAGAAAGCCTAACTCCTAAACTCAGCCTGAATGAATGTTCATCAATTCTTTTCCATTCATATCAATTTACACCGTTTCCTTTAGTTGCTATTAAAATGGTAATCAGAATGAGCACTAAGGTCAGATATCCTCTGAGATAATAGGGGTATAGCAGGCTGACGCCTAGCAGTGTTAATTTGCACTTTTATAATCATTGCTCAAAATGTACTTCATTTTAATTCTTCATTAGTATAATTGTTCAGTGTTGTGTGATCTTATCATTTGATCTCCCATATTCATAGCCTTTACATGTTCGGATGCTCACATTATTATGAGCATGATTATTATCTGTATCTGCATCTAATTACCCTATGCTTTGTTCCATTTGATTACACTATATTGCCCTGAATGCCTCTTGGTCTTTTCCAAGAGTTCTTAATCTCTTAAAATAGTTCTTTACAAGATTTCTGAGAAAAGCATTAACACCTTCTGCTGTCTGCTTTGAAGTGTTCCAGTTTCCACATAGTTTTCCTCTATTAAATTTTAGTATGTTAATATTTCATGTCTTCCATTTTGTTTTTCCATCACTCTTAATTTTGAGGTGTTCTTAGTTATAAATGACTGATGGCAGTTAGGCAAAGGTAGCGTTAGAAGATTAAAGACCAACTGGCTTATTCTGCTATTCACTTTTTCAGTTTGTGATTTGTGTTAATCTGTGTTTGTATAATATGGATCCTGAGAATAACAATTCTGAAAGGAAGGATAGAAATTCCTTAAATAACGTCCAAAGCTTTCCAGTTGTGTATTCTCTTAACTGGAGGGTAACTCACTTCTAAAATGGTTGGCTTGGGAGAGGATTTCCAGCTAAAAATAACAATGTATTGTGGCTTCTGATTTTGTGACAGCGTTCCAAAAAAACTGGAGAATTTGATGAGTTTGTCAATGATGACAGTGATGAAGATCTTCCAGTGTCTAGAAAGAAAAAGAGGAGGAAGGGCAGTGGCAGTGAACAAGATGGCGAAGAAGAAGACGGGGAAAGAAAAAAGAAGAAGCGACGAAGGTAAAATCCTTTGGTGGGAAATGAGGGTGTACACGGCGAATTTCATAAACACATAGGGAAGTCCAATCCCTCTTTTCCATTACTAGCCTGCCTTGCTGCCTGATTTCACAATGCTTAGAATTCAGAAAAACAGCAGCTTTTGATAGTGGGGAACCAAAGAACTCTTCATGTGTGGTCATAGAAACATTCAGAGCCTATCCATGGTATCTGAACTGCAATTATTGGCATTATAAGATCTGTTGTCTGTAAGTGTCTTTTTTTGGCTAGACTAGGTGTGCAAATACAAGTTTTTAATTCCTGTTTTATGTTTAAAAGTATTCTGGAATCATTTCAAGAGTTAGACCTGCAGTGTGCTTTTTTTTTTTTAACATGAGACCAACCATATGGCACTTGCACTCATTACCATATGTCCATATTGTTAAATAACTTTGACATAATCTTCTGGAACTATGTTTATATAAGGAAAAGTAAAAAATATATAGGTTTTTTTCTTTGTAGAGATCTGATCAGGACACAGTAGCTACAGAACATTGAGTTGAACTTTGCTGATTGTGTATGTGTGTGTGTGTTTTTTCTCAAGACCTCATAAAGCAGATGATGATACTGATGATGATGAAAATGAGGGTGCACCCAGACAGAAGAAACGCCGCCCAGCCAAAACTGAGAAGAGAAAAATGGTGTGATTTATAACCATTTTATTAAGTGCTATTTGATTCTAATGAAAAATCTTTGATTTAAGACAGCATGGCTATATGTTCTAGAAAGTACTGAAAATACTCACTCTCATCTGCACATAGCATAGTTTCACATATTTGGATCTGAACTAAACTGAAGACTCCAAAGCTTCTCCAAAGCCTGGAGCAGAAGTCTCCAACTTTCCTAGGCTAATGAACATATTTGGAATGTTGAGAACATGTTATAGAATGGCTGATGAGAGAGGAGGTTGCCCATTCACAAAATAGCTTCAATGGGAGATGCAGTACAGTTATAAAGCACTGATGTACCAAAATGTGATCTGCTACCCCCTTGAATGTCCTACTTTCTGTGCTTACCTTGATCTGATAGGTGGACACACTTCTTTCAAAGCACTTGCAATCCTAAGTACCAGTCATTTTTATTTTCTAAGTAAGTTTCTAGGGCTTACATGCCTCTTTAGAAATGAAGATGTGGAAAGTTGGAGCTTTTTTCCCCCCAGCATAACAACTTTTGGTTCTGTTTTGTTTTTTAATTTAAAATATTTTTAATACAAAAAGTTGAGTGGAGAAAGTAGCCAGAAAGGCATCAAAAGGAGATCTCCATGTGTATATTGGCACCTTCATACACCACAATGGAAGCTCCAGCCCTAGAACGTATAATAACCTCCTTTGTTATAACAGAGCTTAGCCAGAATTTTTTGAAATTTTGAATAGTGTTTCTCCATAGCTTTTTAGTTCAGTCTTTAGCAACTGGAAATTACTTTTATATTCTAGACTCATGGGATGTGCTGTAATCTAATAAGACACAGATACAAAGAGAAAAGCATAGCCACCTAATAGCTAAAGTGTGTTACTTTTCCAGCATAAGCATCTGCAATAGGAATATTTAATAGTTTTTTATTAAACAGCTGAAAGTCAGTTTTCTTTACAAGTTCAGTTTTTCACTTATCGCTTTTTCTTCTTCTCTGTAGTCCAAGCCAGAACGTTTGCCTCTTTCAATGAAGGGAAAAATCAAATCTAAAGCCATTATTTCATCAAGTGATGACTCATCTGATGAAGATAAACTCAAAATTGCTGATGATGGGTATGTATTTTTTTATCCCTTTGGAAGTAATATCAACTCATTTATTCTGATAAAAATGGAGTTACAGGAAACATGTATTTTCTTTTCCATTTCAAAACTGAAAAATACGGAGTGAATATACCCTAATCCATGCTAAATAACTTTTAACTGCAGGATAATAGAACTAAATTGTGAAACATTAAGAAACTTTTTAAAAATCCATATAAATCAAGTGATTCCTCTTTTTGTTTCCTCTTGATATAGTGTTTTATATTTCTTATGAGAAATACAAAATCTGTGAGTGTTTTCTATGGCTTCACAGATACAGGTAGTCCATGGTTAACAATTGCCCTGTTTAGCGACTGTTCAAACTTACAACGGCACTTAAAAAAATAGGTTTACAACCAGTCCTCAAATGTATGATGGTTACAGTGCTCCCATAGTCACGTGATCACAATTCAGGCACTTGGCAGCTGGCAGGCATTTATAGTGGTCATAGTGTCCTGAAGTCACGTGATTACCATTTGCAACCTTCACAGCTGACTTCCCACAAGCAAAGTCAATGGGGAAGTCGCAAGTCATGGTGACATGACATTGCACTTATTGACCGTGGGTGATTCACTTAACAACTGCAGCAGTATGTCGGGCACGGTCATGTGATGTTTCACTTAACAATTGGGTCACTTAACAGTGGAGTTGACGGTCCCAATTGTGGTCATTAAGTGAGAATAACTTGTAATGGGTTGGTGATATTGAACTGTTCTGTACCTTTTCATTGGGAGCCCCCAGTTTGGACCCAAGGAAGTATTAGGCTAAAGAAGGAAATTTCAGGTTGCCTCCTTAATGAATGGGATTCAGCTTCTGTTTGGCCTTCATTCTCAATGTAATTAATCCTTATTCTGTGCATGGGATAATTCTGTATCTATGTGGAAAATCCACTAAAAGCACTAATGGTGTGCAAAATGTTTGGATTCAAGCTATTTGAAGTAAGAAATACTTTGCTTCAAATGGGAAGCAGCTGTTTTGCACTCCAAGCTAGTCATTTAGAGCATTTGGGAAGTGTTTTGAGGTTGAAACAACTGTCTCAAGATCAAAAATGTTCTTAAGTATTTGAGAAGTTCATTCAAAATATTTTCAGTAATGCCTAAAGTGCTATTATGCACAATTAAACTTCCTGAAAATTGGCAAATGTGGTTAATCAGTACTTTCCTTCCTAGCTACAAAAGTACATGAAAAGGTGTGTGGTGACATGTCAGATGCTACAGTAATAATAGCTTAAGGACAATCTTAATACACTGTATAGGTTTGATAGATAAAACCAGGAACAAGAACAAATGTTCACAAAATGGTGTTTCATTTAACTTTCTTGGCATAAGGTTTCTTATTGCTGGACAGAATTAATATAACTCCCAGGAACTTGTTAAACGGTTGAATGTTCTGCTTCAGATGTTTGCATTTGACTTCCTCTTCTATGCTTGAACAGCAATGCCAGGAACAGCAACAGTGACTCAGACGATGCAGAGCAGCGGCGTAACAAAAACGTTGTATCTGACAGTGATTTGGACCACAGTAACAAGTCTGGCAGCGAGGGAGGCAGTCCCCGGCGATCCAGTGCCCACCCTTCGGATGAAGACTCAGACAGTGATGGGTCGGTGAGCAAGAGGAGACAGTCTGATTCGGAACAGTCGGATAATGGGTCTGTGCAGTCGGGAAGAAGCCAGTCTGGCGGTTCTGAGAACGAATCTCATCCAGCTTCCCGCAGCGCTGATTCTGACAGAGATTCAGAGAGAGTCTCTGATAATGAAGCCTCGGGTAACGAGTCTGAGCCAGAGGCATCCAACAATGAGGGCTCCGAACGAGGCTCTTATCATGGATCCGAAGACAGTGATTAAATGTCAGTTGCAGCCTGTTTTTATAAACTCCTTTGTAAATACATGTTGATCGAGAGTAATGAGAAGGACAGACAACCATCATTTATATCTGAAAATTGATTTTAATACATGCATAGCTATGCTTTAGGAAAAAAGTCTTGAAACTTTTCCTACAACCTTTTTCTACTGAACTACACATTCACTAGATCTGAGTGTTCCTTTACCGTACGTGAGCTACTTAAGTACCATATTTGGCATTAAGTATGCTCCATAGGGCACTTAAAAGCTTATTTTGTTGAAATGTATATATGATCTGAAGATGAGCCAAATGGTCAAATGGTAACATTGCATCCAGTTCTGCTCGCTTGAACCACCTGAAGTAAATGCCTTGAAGCCCATTGATCTGGATGGAAGAATGTAGCTCGTCCTGCCTTGCCTAGTCTTACTAGATGTTCCAGTACTTTCTCAAGTGGTGCAAAGAATGGGTCTACAAAGCTGTCATTCTGGCTGGCTAGCTCTTTTTGTTATGTACATGCCTATTGTAGTAAAATTATAAATTTAGAAACAGATTTTTTTTTTAAATTTTAAAAAATGCTACAGGTACATAGACGAATGATAGGTTTATAATGTGGCCAAATCACAATATTGAACAAGGGCCCTTCTGGAATAAAATGATCTGCTTGTGGCATCTAATAAAAGTTGTTGTTATCATCTGTTCAGGGTTGTCCATTTTATTACAGCTTTTGACAATTCTGTATTCTGAAACAAATCCTTTTGAATGCAGTATTAACATTTTGTTGTGCTCTAGTAATCCTGAATGGTTGAACTTGGGCATCTATGAGGTTAAATTTCAAATTATAAATTACCTAGATTTGGAAAATATTCCTTGAATGCCCATTTCCAATCTATGCCTTTATGTCAGAGGTGCAAAAACTGCATATGGGCAGATATTACTGAACTACAACTCCCATCATCTCCTATAAGGGCTATGGACTGCTGAAAGCTATAGTTCAGTACCATTTAGAAGGTTACAATTATCATACCTTTTCTATTCAAACCCCAGTTGCCAATAACAATATCTGACAGGAACAGCAAAGCCGACATGAAGTCTGCCTGCCAATTTTAGTAGTATGCATGTTTTGATCTGTAATTTTGAAACAAGGCAGAAATGATAACAGACTAGTTTTTGATGCTATCTTACATGAAAAAAGCGTGCATGTAGTATTCTTGTATTTTCACTCTTGAATCATTCTAATAAGCCCTAAAAGAAGTAATATTCATTTGTTGACAAAGTTGTTGTATAATTAATTAATGAACTGAATATTGAGACACTCTGTATTTTTACTTCATGCCTGTGCAAATAGTCCTATTATTACTATAATCTTTCAACAAAGCTCTGGAATTTCAGAATAGAAGAAATAATTTGATATGTTTTAATCCCCTTATTTATAGTGCAGTTCATTGGAGGAGTATTCATGTAAATGTTCCATTGAATTCGGTGCAGCTTAAACCCAGGTAAGAAGGTATAGAATTGCAGCTTTACTAAAACAATATATCACACATTAGAAGGACTATAATAAATTTTGCATTCTTGTCACTAATATAGAACAGAACACATCTTTATTCATTCAGCGACCAGCAAATTTAAGAGAACAGTGACAGAGTGAAACACATTGAGACAACAATATACTAAAAAACAGATCACATAATATTTAATAAGTTTTAAAACTAAAAACTAAGATTTAGAGTAAATATCCCCTAGCAACTTATTAATTAAGTAATATCAATCTGAAAGTGATATTAGGAGTAAAAATAAAAGTGATCTTAAACCAATTGCTTCTTTAACTGTTTTTGCCTTATATTCATTGCAGCAACACAAAATTTAGCTACTGCACAGGTCATGGTGGTTTTTAAGTTCTGGAGAATTCCCTGGAAATTTATCTATTAGGGGCAAAATATAAATAAACCTTATATCCCTATAAAATTTGCAACGTAATAAAACGTGTGATGTTTTCAACTTCCTTGTCACCATGTGGGCAGGCTTGTCACTAATACATGTGGCAATAATGTTCAGGAAGAAAAACATTTTGTACGTCTAAAGAAAAATGATTTCTTCCTCTAGTACGATTGCAGTTTTTCATCTTTTCTAAATCTTGATTGTAAAAAATTCAGAAATTGTTTTTGTGAATCTCAGGACCGTGTGGGCCTCCTGACTCTCATTAAATGCTTTTGATTATAAAGAACAAGAAGGTTACCACATGTAGTCTTGCTATTAACATACTGCAAAATTATTTAATCAAAGGAAATACTAGCTGAACTAGATAATATTTGCATTGGATAGCCAGTCCAATTTTATTATGATTCAATAAATGATGATCTTATCCAGCAACAGCAAACCAGAAATATGGGAATGATTTGATCAAATGAATTAGGTAATGAAGAGACGGGTAAATACTCATGTAAAAGTACACTGAAGAGCATTACTTCATTCGCATTTTCACACTTAAAGAGTGATGACATGATGACTATATCTGATATGATATATTCTGGCTATTCTCTGCAGTGAGTTTGGCTTCTGATATTTTATAACAAAGATGTAGGATTAAAAAATCATGATTGGCCGTGCCAGCTGCGGCTGTTAGGAATTGTGGTTCAGCAAAGTCTGTTGAGTTGGAAGTTTACCTACAAAGTTAACCTACAAAGCTAAGCAAAGTTATACCAAAGTCCTCTAACAAAAAGGGAGAGGCCATGACAAGTTCAGTCTACAAGGAATGCTAAACTTATTGTTGGAATTCTTGCAGCTTCATCTGTTGAATCGGAGTTATAGCTAGACCTTCAGGGTGTGATTAAAGTATCTCTTCATAAAATTGACATTAAGAAGTGGGAGATTTCCTTAACTCAGTCTATGTAACAGCCAAATAGAATGGTTGTCATACCATATTCATAGGAATAATTTCTCTCCCTTTTCTCGCTCAACAAGTGATACAGAGAACATTATATAAACAGTGCTTTCATTTGCCTTATTAATGAAACATTAAGAATATAACGAGTCTATTCTTAAAACTCTAAGAGTCTAAGCTTCTGCTCCTACAGTGACCAATTAGATAAATCTGGGAAGCCCAAAGCGGGGAATCTCCCACAGACTCATTATCACTAGCAGCTATTATTTGTGGGCATATTGCCTTTTCTATTAAATAATTTAAAAGAAAAAAAAAAGCTCTCCAAAATAGTGCATTAAGTGCCAAGGTGATCTTAAGAGCTGCAGGAAAGGTATAAATGCCTGTTTTGACTAGAGGTATTGGTTACTTATTTGCATTGTGCTTGAGAATTTTTGAGGCATTAAATGTTGAATTATTAATATTCTGATTATCTGTTTTTGTTGATTTCTTATGCAGTTCAGTGCATAGTGATCTTGTCAGTATTCACTGAACTGTGAGAATAATGAGTAACCTCAACCCTAATTATAATTAGGTTTTATGCATAGCAAAGCTGAGAGCTTTTTCAGAGTTTCTAATGTTCATCTTGTCTGCTAACCTTAGTCTCTACAGGCTTTACAGTGGCTCCTTCTATATACTGTAGGGTTTGTCTATGTTTGATAGAAGATTAAAGTCAGTTTCATATGTAACCTAAGGAACCTAGAAAACAAAGGTATCAACAATTATTGAATAGAGTTTCTCAATCCCTATTTTAGTATCATACGTATTACATAAGATTAACAGGTAAACAGTGCAATTTGGCCCCACCCTTTGTATGAGATTGCCCATAGGATGCACATGTACAAGTGTGTGTGTGAAAGTTTCTATTCAAGTAAGGATCCTGATAGTACAAACACTTGTGGAAGTTTTTGCAAATATGTGTGAAGGTTCCCAACCAACAGATACATTTATTGAGAAATTGGAGTCAGGTATATGGAGCTGTTTACATTGTGAAGTTATCTGGTATGTGCCTGAACTGAGTTACATTCAAGTTTTGTACCTAAGGGAAAGATGAGGTACTGGACACTTTCTACCATCCATTCTGAAAAAGAACAATCCAACAAGAGCAATGCCACATAAAAAGGATTATAACATTGCATTTTAGTCTATACTGCTAAGAGTGTTATTGTCTCTCCCCCCCCCCCGCTTTAAACTATTAAACTATCAAGAGAATCAATTAAAAGTAATGGGGGGGGGCTTAAATAGAAGCTATGCTACTATAATTACTAGTGAAGCATACAAATTATCTTCAACTTGAATCCTAAGCATTAGATTACATGGCCAATAGTTTTATTGTGTTATTTAGTCATTAAATATGAAAAAAACATTAAAGAGCTAGGGAATTCATATAATGAAATATATTGGGATGACAGACAAAAAGAATTAGAGATTTTTTAAAAAGTTAATTAGTCTCTACTAATTAATTTTCAATTAGTCATTTGGTTTAAGTTATTAGTTTTTGACAAATGTACTTTAACAGTTTAATAAATATATGTAAAATTAAAACCCTAGTCTTTTTCAAGGAACTTAAAAATAGGATACAGAATTCATTAAAATAGCTTCTCAAAGATAGCGTGCCTGTATTTCCTGTCTCAGTTGTGAAAATCTGCCACCACCAAGTAAAACTAGTTTCTGCCGTTATGTCACAAATTCCAGTCAACTGAATGAACCAATAAAAACATAAAACTCTCATTATTGCTACCTACACAACCATGAAGCTTAATTCTTCATATTTCTTTTCTATTCCTGTTCTGAAGCTTTCCATTTTGCTTTTTGTGATTTTCTTCTTATAAATGTTTGATCCGAAAGTCGTCCAGGATTACCTTGTTCTGCACACATGCCTAGAAAAATCAGCTTCTTTTTCTTCCTTCTTGATTTGTTTGAGGTTCTACAATCTTAATTTGTGGGTCCCTTTATCCTTATCTATTCCTTACAGATGGGTCTTTGAAGACCTGATGACATAATGTAATCTAATTTTATGAGATGCTTTGAGAATATTTTTAGTACAAATCAGAAAAACTATCCACATGAGTTTGAGAACATGGGCAAAATGCCTGTTAAGGAAGCCATCTATTTTTCAAGAATCTCTGTGAAACTGTGTATGCTACAAAAAATTTCCGAAGCAAGACTTGAGGGAAGATACTAGGGGGATGATGCTGTCTGCCTGAATATATGGGTATGTAAATTTGGGGGGGGGGGAAGGGTCACACATTGGACTAAACCAGTGATTCTCAACCTTTTTGAAGCTGCCGCCCCCCCTAAGAGGCGAAAAATTTTTCACCGCCCCCCTTTGGGAAAATCTTGTATTTTAGGGTATGGGGGGGGGGGGAGTTCCTGAATTATAAAAGGCAAAAATTTAA